TATCTTATAAATTAAGTGATGCATAGCTGTTAGGGAAACCACTTCAATTTATGATTGTTTTAAAAGTTCCCAAGTTATCTCTTGTTTTCCACTGATGATTCAGACTCACTCAGGTGACAGAGACTTACAGATGGTATGTTGTAAAGAAAGAGATCCTTATTTTTATTGCTTTATTTTAAAAAGTGGAAGTAATTGTTATTCTTGACTTTAATGGGATGAGCACTAGAATACTTGTGAAATGAAGACTTTGAACATTTGCTTAAGAAATACAGCTTATTGATCAAAATAGTATTTTGTCAACAGTGAAGCAATTTCTCATGTAAGATGAGATTAATGGGAATTTTTCTTTTTTCAGCAAACACAGCAAAACCTGAAGAACTCAGGTAAGTCATATCTTGCAACTTAGGAATTAATGTTGGATGTTTTAGAATTTCTATAGTTGTTGCTATTAATTAATGAATCGAAGGTATCGTAGCTGTTCCATAGTTTGTTTCAATTTATCTTTCTATTGAGTTTCTGTCATGTTTTTGCCCAAGTGCTCTTTTTGGAGACAGGAAGGGCTGGCAGTCTCAGCAGCAATTTAAAAAGCATTGTATAAGTCATTTGGAGAATGACACAGAAATTTGTAACTTTTAAGATTATGATAAGATCTTTTGAATTATAAAATGGTGAAAATTTGAGAGTAGAAATACATAAAGGAGTAACTCATTTTTTTTCCTGTGTAATATATAAACTTATGGGTTATTTGGACTCTATGCTTTAAATTTAAAGAATTGTTTGTGCTACTATATGTATTTTGCCATCTTTCCTAGAAATTGTGCCATCAATACATGAGATTGCTCATGAAGAATATGTCTAAAGCACAGTTAGAGTACAAATATATGGGAGTAACTAATCAGAAGATATAGAAAAGCAAGTGTTTCCCTAGAAAAGATATTTTCTGGGCATTTACAGTCTTAGTTTTTAGGTACCATTAATACCATTTTTAAATTTAAAGGCTTTTATTGTAAAGGAATTCTTTCTAAGATTTTATTTCTTTTGTTTCTGAGACTGTGCACAGCAAAATGTATACTGATTCCACAGTTTTCACATGTAAAATTCAATGACATTGATTACATTCTTCAAGTTCTGCAATCATTTTTACCCTTTGAGTTGTTTCTCCCCCATTAACTTAATCTCATTATCCTCTAAGTTTTCTAATTTTTTGTTAGTTGTTATTGTCCATTTAGGAGTCCTGGTGCGATGCTGTGGGGTAATACGCTGGCCTGCAAAGTTGGTTTGAACCACAAGGTTGGCGGTTCAAGCTCACCAGCTGCTTCTCGGAAACCCTATGGGTTGCTATGGGTTGTAATTGACTTGATGGGATTTAACAAAGTTGTCCAATTGATCCATACAGATGGTTCTTAGAAGAGTATAATGATCAAGGCAAACATTTTTAGTTAAACTGGACTATAGCTTTAAATTTCTCTGCTATTCATAGAGTTTTCAGTGACTAGCGATTCGGAAGTAGTTTGTCACTCTTTCTTCCTAGTCTGTCTTTGTCTGGAAGCTCATCAGAAACCTGTCCACCATGAGTGACCCTGCCAGTTATTTAAAATACTGGTAGCATAGCCCTCAAAATCACAGCAACTCAAGCCACCATAGCACAACAGACAGATGAATGGTGGCCGTTTGGTTTTATGTTGATACTGTCACTTTAAATTTCAATGTCAATCCTGATACAATCAAGATACAATCAAGGCACTCAGAATGCGACTGGGGAAAAAAATGCCTCCTCAAAGTAGGGTTGACCAGGATGAC